GCAGAATAGTCTTTCAAAACTATTTTTTTTCATTTGACTGATGATTCAAGTGGATCGTGGAAGTACATACAAATCCCTGTGAAGTGATTCAGGTGTAGCGAATTGATGATTTTCGACTCCCAAATATCTATCAAGGTATTTCAGCGTACGTTGTACATAAAAATGGGATTTGGAACAAGTTGCTGAGTCAAGGATTCCCCAAAACAACCTCGGTTAGCAGAAATGTGTGCGGTACCTCGTCCGCCTCGGGCAGAAGCTTCATGAGCTCTCGTAGAGGTTCCGCCCTGTAAGGCTCACTGTTGCCACGGCGAATGTCGTCAATGATGGCCTGGTTGGACCTGAACGAGAAGGACAACTGCTAATCCTCAATTTGAAAATGACGCTTCCAACTAGCGCGAACGCAAATGGCCTCAGGGCGCCGCGGAGTTGAGTCAACACGGTCAACAACAGCGCACAAACACAAATGTCACATTGTCATGTTTTGGCTTGTCATTCCTTTCATTTTTTAAAAGTTTATTTTTGGGGGGGGGGCAACTACAAATACTCGTCTTATTTTGGGTTGACGGAGAGTACATAAATGAGAGTACATTTTAATTTGATTACATAATGGGTAAGTTTATTCAATAATTGGTCAATTTGTTGTACATAATGAATCAAAGAAGAGTAAAATACACAAATTTATGATTGCATTGACAAGTACAAATAGATATTCAGCCTTTAATAAAAATTCTTGTATTATTAATAATAATAGTATTTACAAATTAGTCACAGTAAAATAAAAAAATAATGATCAAATAATTAAAAAAAAAAAAAAAAAAAAATCACATTATTACCGAGAGTACAAACTATCGCATATCCATCCATTTTCTAACCCGGTTATCCTCAGAAGTTGTGCTGGAGCCTATCCCAGCTTTCTGCGTGCATGCATCGGCGGCATACACTCTGAACTGGTTGCCAACCAATCGCAGGGCACACACAGACGAACAAGCAAACACGCTAACAGTCACACCTATGGACAATTTAGAGTGTTCCGTTAACCTGTCGTGCATGTTTTTGGAATGTGGGAGGAAACCGGAGTACCCGGAGAAAACCCACACAGGCACGGGAAGAACATGCAAACTCCACACAGGAAGGCCGGAGGCCGAAATTGAACCAGTCACCTCTGCACTGTGAGCCGGCTGTGCTAACCAGACGACCACGTTGGCGCTTGTATCGAATATTATATTAAAAAAATTTAATTCAATTTAATTTAAATTCTTTGACACCACACTTTCTTTTTTGTGTGTGTTTGAGGGTGAGGCGCGGGGCAGGGG